AGGGGGGTTGGACTAGATGATCCATAGAAGTCCCTTCCAACCACTGCTACTCTGTAAATCTGTGTGAATCTGTGTTTGACTCTAGGCCACAAGAGCCAATCTTTAAACAGTAGGTGTGTTGGGATTCTTAGGAGGACTTCAGGATTTAACAGTTGTGTAAACTGCAAGAGCAAAAAGAAACTACTATACTGCATGACATTCAGTCTTTTCTGTCATAAAAAGCTTGCAGGTTTAAGCAAAGACAATTAATCTTTTTAATATTCTTGTAGTTTAATGTCAACAGTTTCCTTGTTTCTCTTTCACAGTTGCTATGAATGCTTCTTTGATGATCTCCTTATCCAAGTTCCTGCCTGTAAGAAGAAATAAATTAGCTAATTATATTTTACAAAGTATTACAAAAAATGTATGCAAGTACCAACCTGCAAGTCTTCTCAGCAAAGAAAAGTATTTATTATACCAATGAGTGGAAACTGAGCCGTATTAAAATTAAGTGCAGGTAACAAGATAACTTTAGATTTTACAGGCCACAACAGACTTCAAGGTGTACAAATAAGGGAAAGGAGGAAAAATCGGTTTGGGTCACAACAACACTTTGCAAAGCAGACAGTAACAAGTAGGAAATAGAATGCACTGCCTTAGCATTACAAGCTTTTCAGAAGCAAACCAGATTTTATACATTTTAATGGCTATAATCACCTTCCTTAGAGTTACTCAATATTTGACCAAACATTCAAACCATTCACCACCATATTTACAGCTACGGGTTTTTAAAACTAACATTAAATGTGCCAACATAATTTATGAATACTTAGTATTTTATTTTATGTCACTAAAGGGGACAGTGTAGATTCCTCTGGAATATAAAACCACAGGAGGTTTTGATGGATAAACCTTAAACTGAAGGTTACGCTGAACATACTTCACTGCTGCTACAGTAACCAGCTTAGGCTGCTCGCTTTTCACTGGACAAGTCACAGGACTGCCTGCTGAGAAACGCTTTTTAAAGTCAAACGAGGAGATATATCATTTCCTCTTACCTATCAGGACCAGTCTATTTATTCTCTTTTCATCTTCTTTCCAGGTTACTGCAGTCTCTTCCAGATCATAGAGCTCATGGACACCTTGGACTATCACCTGATGAGATTTGCCTTGAATAGATACCAGTCCCTTATCAGAAAAATAACTGTTAGGATATATAAACAAGCCTTTAAAAAATGCAGTATGTAAAAATTAAAAATTAAATATGCAAGAGGGGAAAAAACTTTAAAACGAGGTCAAAAGCAGGGAAAGATATTTCTGGCAACTATGCAAAGTTAGTCAAAACAACCATGTGGTATGATCACTTATACTTGTAACATCTGCTTTCACATCCCTTTATTCTGTTAACAACTAATAATGACACTTTGCCATACTCTGCCTTCTGTTCCTCATTTGGTTGGTGTCTAGCATCGTTGAGCAAAAATAAAATGTCATCAGCTACTGTGCCCCTTCTATAATTACCCAGGGTCCATTTGCTGTGGTGTATTTGACTGAGGGCCGGCACACAGCTTATCACAGGCCTCAGATCTCCTAAAGAATTACTTTGATTCCAATGCTCCATACAACAAAAATGTACTTGTGCAATATTGTTTTCAGACAGCTTGAGACACATCATGGGCTATTTTCTTCTGGTTTTCACAGGAGGAAGACAAGGATAATCTAATTTTGTTGCTGAAAGAGCAAGAATACAACCTTTCTTCCAATGAAATGAAAATAATTATATTGCTATCCATGACGCACAAGCGCTCTCAGATAACAAACCAGAGTGTATTTTATTGTATTTCTTACAGCCTACCAAATGACAGACTTGATTCTCATTTTTTAATTATCTACTTGGCTGCTTGTTATACGGAGAACGAAAATTTATCCTAAATTGTCACCTATCAAAACCCTGCAACTGCAAAACACATCAAGTGCCCATGAAGATGAATACTTACAGGCTGCATCTTTAAAACTGCAGTCTCACAATACCATAAGAGTTTGAAGTGTAGACCACAACTAGTACCACACTTCTATGTTATGCCAAATTCACCTTCTGCATGTTATGCCAACAATTGTAATTAGCAATAGCAATCTATGGTGTTCAATCTATGGTACCCAACCCCTAGATGAGGAGACATTTTTGTGAGATGGATGGACCCTTCCAAACAATGGAGGTGAAAAATGAAAAAGTGATTTAACTATGTCCATTATTTACTCTGCTGCTGATGTTTGGGACTGCACATCTTGCCTCTCAATTCAAAACAAGTAGGATCAATGTTTGCTTCTCTGTCAGCAAGCTCCTTCTGAGTTGTTCCCACCAGCCAGCAGATAAAAAACATCTCTATGCTGAACAATGACAAATTGTTATTCTCCATTCTGTCTGCTCTGCTCCAGTGATCCAGCAGTGCCTTGGACAGGCCTGTAACTGACAGCACACTGCAGTCTTTTAGGTGTAAAAGAAAAAGAGGACAAAACAAAGAAGTTGGTAATTCCTGACTAACCTTCAGTCTTAAGACGTCCATAGTGTGCCCAGTCTTCTCTTGCAGATTCTTCTCCCACAGAAGATTCTATGGAAAGGAAAAAGGTTTTCATAAACGGAATGGCATGCAATGATTTTCTATAAAAAGACACAATGATTTTTCAGTTAACAGTGATGTTATTATTACCTGAATAAAGAGATTTAAGTTTTCTTCTTTTATACTTCCTTGAACTTCAAGTGTTACCGTAATTATGCTCTGCAAACAGAAAGACCCACTTATTACCACAAAATTGAATAAACGTTTCATTACATTAATTTCAGCAAGTGCTCTTTATAAATTGGTCTCATAAAAAAGCAACCGTATATCCATGTGAAATTAAGGGAAAAAAAAAATCTCCATCTATGTTCTACTCTAATTTGATATATTATGCTATGCTTTCTAGTTCTGTTTGGACGTGCATTTAAGGGGCAAATGCAATACTTGAAACAGTTTAATGGGATCAGCTTCTACCATGTAATTCTTTGCTTTCGCTGATGTTTGTTCTCAAAGAAAGCCTAACAATTTTAATTCTTGTAGGCTAGTATGCTCAATCTTTCAAATATGTTTAAGAATGATACTTTCTTGGCATACTGACCTTTGCCACAATTCCTGATCTTCATCACAATTCTATCACACAAAAATTAACCAACGTATTTTTCATCTATCCGTTCTGTCCTGTTATGAAAATCTTTTTATAAATAGACTATATAGAATAGAATATGAAAGTAAAGATGTCTGAAGTGATGTTTTATTCCGAAGCGAACACTGGCTTATTGCTCAAAACCGGTTATTATCAAAACAGAAGATGAAAATAAATGTGTAGTTTAAAATTAACAATTTATTAAAAAATGAAGGAAGTAACATGTCTTAAACTTATTTTTGACACTATAACCTCTCAATGGCATAGAGGAGAATACAGAGAATTACTTCTTGTACAACCTAGAATTCTTTCAGATAGTTACTACTTTCAAATGACTCGTCTAATCAAAAAATAAAAAGGCAGCAAATCTAAACGTTTATCTAATGACCAAGTAAACTCACCAAAACAATGAACAGCTAACACTCTGAGCAGCTTTGAAACCAGGCAGACAGAAGTTCAGCGTGCTACACACACAGTACAGTATTGCTTCCACATGAAGATAATTATCATCCAACAAGGACCTGCAGCCTAATGCAACAGCAGTATTCTGCTCCCATTTATGCCTTATCTGTCTCAACAACCATCTTAAAACTGCGGGTGTTGAACTCAACAGCAATAGTAGCAATGAATTCTCCCTGTTCCTTACTGGTTGAACTGCACCACACTGTAAAAACAGCAATAACTTCCTTAATACTACAAGCATGCTATAACTCTCACAACACTCAGGAACTTCACTTTTTTCTACTTTAGGAACCTGGTCAGACTTTTATTACTGTAACTGAACAGATTTAAGATGAACACAAATTTTAGTTAAATAACCATGACCTTAAGATTCCGATCACAATTATAGCTAAACATGAAACTGATTTTATATTTAATGCTTAGTCCCAAAGGAAATTATAGTTGCCTTTTGTTGTTAAGACCAGCAACTTCACGGTCTAGATTTACAATTAAAAAACCCCAAACAACCAGGCACTGTATGCATCATATTTTAACCTGAAAATTAAATTTAATCATAGCAACTTTCTAGAAGGAAAGCATATTGTTCTATGCTACTGTATACAAGTTCTTCTTTATTAGCAGCCCCCGAAAGGACTGTTGATGATGGGTGAACAACACCCAGCTGGGATACCCACAAGGACTGTGACCTACAACTCATCCACAGAGCAGCGTACCTGTATACAGCCCATGGAGCACAGACAATAAGGAACAGAGCAGTGACAAAACCACTCAGAAGCAAAAAGGAGCAGAAAGCTACTACACAAAATTACAGGCCCTGGTAAAAAGTCTGTCTTTCTGATTAAGCCCCTTTAAGTAGTGAAAGGCCACAACAAGGCTTCTTGAAGCCTTCTCTTCTCCAGGCTGAACAAGCCCAACTCTCTCAGCCTTTCTTCACAGGAGAGGTGCTCCAGCCCTCTGATCACCTTCACAGCCCTCCTCTGGACCCACTCCAACAGGTCCATGTCTTTCTTGTGCAGGGGGCCGCAGAACTGGATGCAGCACTCCAGGTGGGTTCTCACCAGAATGGAGTCCACTACTGCAGTGACGTGGAGAATCCAGAAGAACCCCTGGTTGTGGGAATCTGTGATTGTATGTTCTCTTGCTAGTGGTACACCTGTTAACACATGTGGGGATGTGTGCAGACAATGTGTGCACCCAGAAGCTGCTTCTGCAGTGGCTGTGGTGGTGCTGGGAAGCTGGAGGAGGGCACATGCAAAAGTAGGAAACTCTGGGATATACTGATGGAGGGTTATGCTCAGCTGTATCCTTCCAATCCCACAGCTAGGACTCCTATGGAGGGACAAGAAGAAGGGGCAACCAATTGTGATCACTTTGACTCTTCCTGTATGTACAGGTAAGGGACCCCAAAAAGGCTGAGGCCACAGACCAAAAGCTCTGACAGTTAGGCACCATCACTCCTGCCCCTCTGGTATCACCTGATAACCTGGTGGAACAACCTATCAATCAAGGAGTGACCTAGAGCACCACACTGGGGGCAACATGCCAGAGGCAAAGCATGACAAAATCACAGCTGTGAAAGTGGCAGGAGGGGATGAAAAAACACCATGCTCTCACCCTAGGAAGTGGGACTTGGAAAGGGTGTCGTGGTTTAACTCCGG